TGGTGCAATATGTACTCCACACTTTTGATAGCTTAGCTTAACGCGTCTACTGACAATGGACGATACGCAGAAGCGGCTCGCGTGTGTGTTAGCAAGAGTCAAACAAGGGGGGAAATGAATACATACGCATTCAGAAGAAGCATGAGAGATTGAATCGAAATGTTTCAGATCTTAACTGAAATCTTTAAACTGATTGGTTAAACGGTATCTGCACTGCAGTGTTGCATAAGATAGTGCATTGCACTGTTACATTAATTTTTAAATGGCACAGTTCAGATTGATATCTTATAAATAGTCACTATTTTTAGGACAGAAGGGAAGTACTCAAATTAAAACGAAGATTAAAGGGACGCTTGCAAAATTAAAGTTAGTAGTTTGCTTTCGCCTTTTTTATCTTACATATTTATACAGCCGATTATATTTTACGTGTATTATAAATAACGAAGGAGCAAGACATTAGAAAAACATTTGCCTCAAATGCTCGCTGCAATCTCAAAAAGAATGAAATTTGGTTGAAATTACTTAAAGATTTATGCGTTCAAAGGAAACCTTTATTTTTTACATTATATTAAAGGATTACCAAAAACTTCGAAAATATTCTCCTTTCACTTCCATTTGCAGCTTATCACTCAAGTTTGTTTTAAATATCAAAGATTACTACCAATACTATATAAATAAACTTAAAAAAAGAATTATCCTTAAAAATTTTTCTTGCTTGCAGTTTCTCGATTTACTGCATAAACTGGAGAAATAATGTGATTCTAAAGAAGTATAGAAAAGTACTGAAGTGACAGAATTTAAGCAGGACTAGTTACTTTACATTTTAATCAAATAAATCGTTTAAATAGATCATGATTTATTTTCAACAAGAGAGAGACAGAGGTACAAAATAGTTATATAAAATATGTGTTTATTCAGTAAATATAAGCTATATATGGAAAATAAAAGTATGATGAACTTAACTGATCACTCATATACAAATTACTCATGCGACAGTTTATCATTTCCTTCACAAAACAGTTTCAAAATACCTAAGGCGGTCTTGAGAAAGTTCAGTAATATTGCAATGGGTGCATTGAAAGAAAACGTTCTAATAGTCAAGGTTTAAGCCGTTTTCGCAACAAATGCACGCATGCTTCTTTAAAAATCTGAGAAACAATAGATAAAAATAGGACAAATTGACCGTCAAATGATTGCAGTCATTAGAATTTTCAACTGCAGTCAATTTATTTTTGAAAATTTATTGGAGAGAATTGAATAATGCCTATTTAAATGGATACAAAAGAGTTTCAGAATTATTATCAGGAATACAAATTTTTTTGTTACACGCAAAGTTGTTTTCCAGATGATTGTTTTACGTGATATGCAGAAGTGCAGGATATTACATATACGACTCAATTTTGTATGTCCTTTACCATTCAAATGAAAAAAATTAAAAAATTCTGTTTATCCTTTTCTGAAAAATTTAGCACGAACGTATTAATGATTTTATATATATAATGATTTTATAATAAATGCATAATCATTTATACGATATATGTGTAGAGAGATATATCGTATTAATGATTGTACATTTGTAAATTTATTTTTGTGTATAGATACGCGATTTGGGTATAGTCAATGCGATTAATTGGTTATTATTAATAATAACCAAATAAACTGGTTAAAGTGAATAATTTATGAGAATTTATCATATGAGCCAGTTGTTATTAATAATTCCCAGCAATGAATGGTAAGTGTAATAATTTTTGATGCGTTTAGTTTCAGATTTGCCATTACGCATGCGTATATTTTACATCACTCATCAGGGCCTCACTAGTATGCAAAAGTATGATAACAGTAGGAAGCGTACGGGTTTGTTTTTGTGTGTTGGCAACAGCTAGAAAAAATCACTTTGCTTATTTTAGATTTAGGCGTCTTCATTTTTAAGGACGCTCACAAATATTTCGCGTTCGACAGTTTTATTTGTTGTACGTGCTATTATTATACTTGCTGTATATTGTCAATTCAATCTTACTTTCGTTCAACTGCTAGCATGAGCATAATTATTTTTGACATTTTCATAAATTGTGCTGTGTTAATATGCACAATGGATGATGATTTAGAAGCCATTAAGTCCCGTTTTGACGATCATTTGGACAGTCTTAAATCTGAAAAAGGAAAAATTACCAGTATTTACAAGAGAAAGGTATAATTCTTCTTTCGCAAAAGTTAAATAAAGCAAAGAGAAGACTTCTGACAGAAGATTATCAGCGATTAAACATAAGCACATAACAATCGAAATCGTTGTAATATATTTAAATCTTTGTGAACCTTGTCAAAAGAAACAAAGCTTCCCAAGAAAAGGTCTTGTTGTTAAGCTAATTAGAAGCAGTGAATTAAATTCGAGGTGACAAGTTGATCTCATTGATATGTAATCACAAGTCGACAAAGACGTTTCTAACAGGTTGCAAGACTATTTAACTAATTTATTCAATTACGAGCGTTTAAACAAAACGAGCCCAGGAAGTTGCTTATTATCTACTGGACATGTTCAAAATATTTGGAACACCGTGCATCTTGTAGGTAGCAGTGGCGAGGAATTTGCTAAAATTATTGAAGAAGTTCGTGGAATAAACTCAAAATTGTCCATGGAAAGCCAGGAATTAGTTCAGATTCCATAGGAAAGGTTCAGTTAAAAGAGTAAACGTTATCCATTTGGCTTGGAAGAAACTATACAAAGACGTGGTGAGAAGGATTAACGTTTATTAAACTTATGAAAAATAGAGCACATCGCTCTGAAATAGATCACAGTTCATATGAAGCTATATATTTGACTGTAAAGATAAAATAAGTTTAAGAACCTAATTGACCGCTGATGCTTTGTCAGGAATTACAACTAAATATCTTGCTGTATAAAGAAATCAGTCTAGTAATGATGTCCAACTACAGATAGGAATCTCAACCGAGGATGAGAGTATAGGTTCTGTGAATAATGGCAGTACGGAAACGGAACTTGGCGATTCGAGTGAAAACTTGAAGATAATAACTATTGCATGTCCAATCAAGAAAGCAAGTAAGACTATTCTTTTACCCTCGACGAAGTCTCAGAAAATATTAAAAAAGCTGACGCTGTGCTAATAAGTCACTAAATAAGCAAGAAGTAAAAAGTCTTAGTTATTGAAATAAGTTTAAGAGAATGTTCTTACAAGAAAATGTCAAACACCCTTTGTATGTCCAAATGCCACAGAAGCTTTTTCTGCCAAAATAAATAATTCGATAAAAATGCGATAATATTGCATTTGTAATGTAATTTTATTAAATATTTTGTCCCCTAAACGTTTTTGTGGATAATGTAATTTGTTTGATATAATAAAAAATGCAGTATGTTACAATTATCATTATTATAAAAACTTTCCTTTTTTCCCCTCTTTTTGCCTTGCTTTTCTTTCTTTTTTCTTTAACATTGACCAAATTTTATTGCTATTAAAGCTTTGAATGAATGTAATTTCATGCACTTCTGCCATTAAAATTGTGTTAGAGTTTTGAGTTTCAATCTTTTATGCTTAACTGATCACATTGACCAAATTTCATTGATAATTACTAGTATTTAGAGGTAAATGTTATTATTGTGCATTATTTATCACATTCACTAAAAGATGTGGTTATTATAAATAACAAGAGGCTGAATATTTGAAAAGATAAATCATCAAAAGCATGAATTTAAGTTGTAGAGTCACTAGGTTATTTTGAAGCATAAGACGTGAAAAAATGCGCAATGTCCTCGCCGGGACTCGAACCTGGACCTTTCGAATACGCACCGAGTGTGCTACCATTACACCACGAAGGCATGCTGGAAGGAGGGAGAAAATACCGTATAAAGTTACAAATTATTGCATGATGTCTAATAAATAAGTATAGAATTATGTATGGAATAACTCAATTAATTAAAAGAACTTAACGGCAAAATTTTTCAATAAAACCTCAAGTACACACGATCCCCCCCCAAATTATTAATTTAAGAGAGAAATGCTTTGTCATATTCATTATGTAAACCAATTTTTTTAAAATTCTAAATGCGGATTTCTTTTACTGTTTCATATGAAATGTATGCCATGTTTTGCAATCGATATTCTTCAGCTGCCTTCTTCTGTTACTATACTATTAAAATTATTAATCAGAATATAACTGTATTAATAATATACATTGAAACTCCAGCTATCCGGACTTGAGACCTTCGAAACTCTAATTTTACGATCGCTTTTTTTCCTCCTGTTATCAAAATGAAATTATTGGTAATTTATTTACTCATTTTAACTTTTTTCGTTCATTAGCTTAATATCAAAAGATAGTATAGTAGTGAGCAAACGATATAATAAGATTTTAATTTTATTTAAATAAATGTGTACAATTTTCAAATTGGCTTACAGTTTTTGAGAACTTTGCAGTTGATATACACTAACGAAAAATTCATTACTTCTGTATATTGACTATTATAATTTTATTCACACCGTAGATTATCTCTAGGTCATAAGAACTGTTTCTTTTCTAGAAATAATCTAAATATCTAAGATGATGTTCTTTCAATTCTGTCACTATGCAAAGAATTTTTGCTTCACGATATGCAACGCTAACGGCAGGCCAGTTATTTTATAACAGAGTTTTGGTCAGAGTATACAAAAAAAAAACAATCCCCTTATTTAATTTTTCTGAAAAAGGTGTTTTCTATATTTGTTGTTGAGAATTATTTATAATTGTTTAATAGTTATTGAAATAAAGTATGGTATGCGAAAAAAGAATTCTTTGACTTATATTACAATACATATGTATCTGGCTAACAGGAAAAAGAAACCCAATTATTCTCGTATTTCGACTGTCAGGATAGGCTATGGTATCATTTGATTTGGATGTTTGGAGTTCTATTGCATTTCTTAAACAAGTATATTTAATTAATTCATAAATGTATTGAGTTTATAAATGTGTTTAGCACACCTAGCTCATTTTTATTATCTCTTTAACAGGGTGAAACAAATGAAAAAAACAACGGACATTCAGTTCCAACAGTTTTTGAAAAGGTAAAATATGAAATTTTCTGCTCTTTCTCAACACATGATGTATAATTTGTTTGACCCCGAGACAGCACTTTATAGGAAATAATTACGGAAATACTGTTAATATTTTTTGTGTCTCTAGATTCTAGTATGAATCATAATCTAAAAGTTTTTTTAAATGAAATTGAATTGAAGCAAAAATATCGTCAAGCTGATGTTGGTACGCTTTCATGTAATTTCTTTAACTAAATTCATAAGAACTTCCGGCAATTTTTCATAACACCTATAACTTAAATCGAATCTCTTAATGATTCCTCTTTACTGATTGAACATAAGAATGAACGACCCACACTTTTTACAATATTTAGTCACAGAAATAAATATTTAGTCTTCAGTTATTTATATTAAATTGATAAAACTTTTATTTTACAAAAGTATGAGTAAAATCTGTTAATCATTCCCTTTGAATTCTCAAAGTTCATTGGCTGTCAGAACTTTGGAAGCTTATTTTGTCTAACTAATTAGCAGTTGAAAACACATTTTTAGCAATCCAAATGCTCCTAGTTTAATTTATTTTGCCTTAGCTCACTTTAATGTTTATCTCCACCATTACAGCTGATCTACATATATTAAGCTCTAAAATGCGCCCGGTACTGGTTGGAACTTTCAGAAGTATTAATACAAAATAATGACAGAACTTGTAACAGAACAAGCTGAAATATCATCTGACGATTAATTCCTTCCAAAATTCTCTGCAACGAGGAAAAGCTACATTAAGTTAAATACTAACTAGAAATAATGGAATTAAAGTTAAAAATCGTTTGCAAGGCATTGAATCATATGCTGTGCATTTTAAAAGACTCCAAGAGTTAAGGAAAGGGTAACCAGTTTTCTTTGCGAATCCACTAAAAGTGTATACTATAGAGCAGTTTAACCCCCGAATTGGCAGTTGAAGTCATGATTATTCGAAGTGTCTTGATGCTCCTTCACACTAGCTTATCAGACTCAGCGGCGAATATGGGCAACACTAAACACTTTTCTGAGAATTAACTAGAAGTATCTTCCTCAGCATTTATAATGTAAATATGTTAGTTTGACTAGAATGCCAAGGAATCCGTTATTGCTTAAGTTCTACCAACAAAGTTCTCCACGGAAGTATTTCTCCCCTTAGAGAGCCCGTGCGTGCTTTGCTATATTCGAATAACCTAACCTAAACTAATCATTACTACTCTCACTGAGGAAAGATGGCTTCTGTGATCCTGAGCATAATGGCGCTAGAAACAATATTTTAGGTGTTCGGGCAAAAATGTTCCGCAGCCATCAATTCTTCGAATTTTTCTACAAAAATATATTTCTAGAAAAAGCTATGGCTAGCTTACACTTGCCTGACATGTTGTTGATAAACGCTTTTGTACGGACATACAGATATAAGTAGACTTCATAGCACTGTCATAGCAAGGTTTAAGTCAAAAGAAGTAAGATCGTATAATTATATATATAAGGAAGAGAAAATCCATCTTATTCTACTAGTACTTCGCTCAAGGGACGTATAATTTCTTCTTCGAGTTGTAACTTAACACTAATAAATCTGCCCGAATTTTCTTAGTGTTACAGATACTATACAATTATATTCTGGCTTGTTTTGATTTAAACTATTGCCACGGCTGAAACGACACTCACAATTTCTGTTTCTTTTGTCTGCACGCGAGCACCCACATCCGCACATTTATAAATTATTATTATTTATAAATTATTAAAATTATATTTATTCGAAAAAGACGACTATAAGGTTTTGTTAATGCTGTATTTTAAATAGTGAGTTGTTATTTTATATGCTCCATACTTCTGCGTAAACCAACTTTCATCAGAATGCAAATTAGTTTAAAGAATAAATATGAGTTAGTTTAAAAGTATATTAAAGGGCGTTTGGAAGCTTAGGCTGACTGCTGTTCGCATTAGCTTGTCGACAAAGATTTGCTTGCTGTGACTGTTTGAGTGATTAGTCAGAGGGACCCAAGGGTTACATTAAGTTGCTCATTTTGAGGAATATTGTTAATTACCTTCAATTAATTCTGAATTTGCGCTGAAAACGGTTTTTTTTTCTGCTGATTCCAGTTTGTGTAGTCATAAGGTCGGCATGTTAATAAATACTTTTATTCGTATATTATTTTAATTCGGATGCTTCTGGCTATGAATTCTGACTGGATGAAAATTCGTCCACAGTTCTTCTGCGGTTAATTGGGTGAGTTGGTGCTTTAAATTTGATAGCGTATTTGCATGCCTTTTTTTTTTCCTTATTTATGATCTTAGATATGGACTTCTAATTACAAAGTTTACTAAGAGAAAAATTAATGAAAATATTTTAACACTATAGGTAGAAAGTTTCTGTAAGCGCAAAATTTAACTATAAACATATTTCACATCGAACAGACTATCGTCCAGTTAGTAATATCCATTAAGCTTTCTTGAGTAAAATTGAAAAGTCTCATCTAATATTGACTGAGTAATATTGGCTGAATTATTAATAATTCATGAATTCATGAGGTCAGATACAATATTAATAATAAATGATTTTCTGCCCATTATAAAACCAATGTTAATAATAAATACTGTTCTGGTCAATATAAGCGGTCAACCATGGTTCTGGTTAACCATAAGCGCCATAAGCGAGCGTCTTTTGTTAGCGTCTTTTGTTTTTGTAAGCGAGCGTTTAGTTTCTTGCTAAATCTGATTATGAACATCTTATTAGAATAGCTTAGTAAATTAGGACTGAATGTGATCCGAGTAAAAAAATCCGAGTATCCTCATGTATCTTAAAGCTTCCAGTATTTCATTTATCTTCATTATTTCCAAATTTCTACTATTTCCATCATGATTTTTATTAATTGAACTTTTTATTCTACAAAGATTATATGAAATATTAAATTCCAGTTACCAGTACCATAACAGCATTCATTCATGAAGTTCTTTGCCTAGTTTTGCGAAACATTGTAATTGGAAATACATGCCTATGTTTAATATTAAACGAAATAAGATTGCAGCCATTTCTTTTGAGCGCCCTGGAATACTCTAAAGAGTAGATCTTACAGTCAGATTACTTTCTGAAAAAGAAGAATGATCGTAATGCGTGTTGTATGGTTCAGATTCAAATCCTAATGAAAGTACGACGAAATTGATGGTTAATTATGTCTCTTCCTTAGTTAATGAAAACCCTCCAATCTCACTTGTGACAAGTAGAAAAGTTTGGACTAATAAAATTAAACTACACGTAGACAATTATTTTTACACATAATGAAGGGAATATATGTCAGGTAGAAACATCTTGATTGCTAAGTTTTCAGATGATAGATTGAAATAATATGATGATTGCTACAAGAAATCAGATGTTTAATTTTTCTGCACATCAAACATCTGATTGCTAAGCTTCATTTAGAAATGCTCATTAAAACATTTTAAATGATGTGTGGAATACAGGATTTATCTGCTAAACGTGGTAATGCCTTCCACATTAGTTTAAGAAGTGTAAAGCTACTGAAAGTATAGCATGAGCAACAATTTTTCTTAACCGAGCGTTAATACTCTTCGCAATAATCTTTACTGAAACTAATAGTCACGTAGTTTATTTTATAAAATCTCTTAATTTAATGTTTTTAATTTTGTAACCATCTGCAATTTTGTTTTTCTAATTTATTTACAGATCTTAACTATATAAGGTATTTCTCCCGCCTTCTTAGCGAGCCTTCGTGGTGTGGTGGTCTGCACGCTGGTCGCGTATCCAGAGGTGCGCGGTTCGATTCTCGGCGAAGGCGTTGCATATTTTTCATTACGCCTGCTTCTCCCCCCAAAAAAGTACCTAATGTCTCTACAGTAGCGCCAAAACTAAAAGGGTGTTGGATGAGGATTCTCTACACCCAGGATTTGACGAATGGGTCCCCTAAAAACCCTAGTCGCCCTTTAGAAAGGGGAGTATATAAAGTATTTCTTCCGCTTTCCTAGAGTGCCTTCGTGGTGTAGTGGTTTGCACGCTTGGCCGATATCCAGAGGTCCTTGGTTCGATTCCCTTCGAAGGCGTTTGCTCATTTTTCATCTTGCCTGCTTATGAAAAATAATGCTACAGCTATAAACAGAATTAAATCTTAGTTTTGGGTTTATTCAAACTACTAAAAAGTAAGACGGAAGGGTACATGGTTTCAAATATTAATAGTCAGTTCCACTTCCTATTGTCAGGTGTTTTGGGTTTATTCAAACTACTAAAAGTAACGGAAGGAAGGGTTCCACTTCCTATTGTCAGGTGTTTCAACGAGTTGTTAATCGTAGCCTGCGAGATCTTCCGTCATCAGAGCTGTTTTAGAAAGAAACGCAAAATACAAATACTCTGAAATATGTTTCCTTTGAAACCGAAATCTGTTCTTTTCACTTGTTTGGGTACTGCCTATGAAATGCGTCATTCAAGCTCGGTACTTTCTGATCTCGGGAAAAATTAAAGATCACGTAGCTAGAAGCAAAACAGTCTGCAAAAAAGAAGGTTAGGAAGAAATTACCTAAACTATTAGATTCATTGGTTGTAGTATGAAACTTTTGTTGCTGTGACGTATCTCATTTGTCTGACAGTAACATCAGGCAAGGTAACATCATCAAGAAATTCATCATGGTAAGGAGTGCAAGATTGCGCCTGTCGTGAGCAAGAGCCATGAAACTTTTACACTTCATTATAGCGTAAAAGAACTGCTAAACATTTAGATCGGTAGGTTTAAATACATACTGTTTATTGGATACATTTAAACATTCTTTTACTCTTCATCTAAACAGATGCCTTTTCAGAAGTTTAAAATTTGTGCAATAATACGAATTTTTATATTTCTGGTTATTTGGGGTTCAAATTTTCTTTACCGTATAGATATGAAATAAAATCTGGAAAATCTAACAACTAAAGAGCCAATAATCTCATGTAACGTGCAGTTTGAAAAGCGAGCGTTGACAATTTGAAAATAAAACAGAGGAGAGATGGAATTGTCTTGGAGATC